ATATACCATATTTTGTCTATCTGTTTCTCAGTCGTTGAATACTGGAATTGTCACCACTTTTTGGCTACTATGAGTAATGTTGCTAAGAAGGTTTTTTTCCTTTAGTTCGCTATAGGGTGCGTGCACTCACCAGAGAGAGGGAAAGTGAGAAATCAGCCCCCAGGGGAATGGCCACATTGCAGTCCCTCCACTCCCATTCTTCTCTGGGATTTTTAGCAGTGCACGCACACACATCTGGTGTGATTTTCAAGCCGCCATGTCTGGGACTCAAACCACATTGTCCGTCATGTGGAATCTGGCTGCCTTAAGCTCCACACCACCTGCTGGCCCCTAGCTTTCTTTCTAGTGTCCTTTGAAGCACAAAAGTTAATTTGGTGATGTCCAATTTATTTCTTTTTACTCCGTTTGTTGGTGCTGGTAATGCCATATCTAAGGAGCCATTGCCTAATCCAAGGTCATGAAGATTTGCACCTATGTATTCTTCTAAGAGTTTTGCAGTTTTAATGCTTAAAATTAGGTCATGATTCATTTTATTTGTTGGTTTTTTAGAGAGATTTTTGCTGTATGGCACGTGAGCTCGCCAGAGAGACAGACTGAGAAATCACCCCCCGGGGGGTGGCCATGCTGCAGTCCCTTTTTCTCTTCCATTCTTCTCTTCCAAACTCACGTGCCTGATTTGAGTTTTAAGCTCCAGATCTGGGACTTGAACAGCTGTTGGCTACGTAATGTACCCGTTACGTCATGGTCCCTCATGATTCATTTTGAATTAATTGGTATATGATATGAGATAGGGTCCCAACTATGATTTTTTGCATGTGTTGTTGTTGTCCTAGCACCATTCATTGAAAAGAATATTCTTTCCCCCATTGAATTGTCTGGCCACCCTTGTAGAAAATCAGCTGAGTGTGGATACATGAGTTTCTTTCTGGATTCCTGATTCTGTTCTGTTGATCTTATGCATGTCCTTAGGCCACTACCTCATTGTCTCAATTACTGTAACTTTGTAGTCGTTTTTTTTTGTTTTTTGGTTTTTGTTTTGAGAGGTTTTTGCTATAAGGCCTGTGTGCTTGCCAGCAAGACAGAGATAGACAGACAGACAGAGAGCAAGAAATCACCCCCCGGGGGGAATGGCCACGCCGCAATCCCTTCTCCATTCTCCTCTCAGGATCTTGGGCACACATGCACATGCACCTAGTGTGAGTTTAAGACACCGGGTCCAGGACTTGAACCGCAGTTCAAGTCTACATGGGAGTCTAGTAACATAGCCATTACGCCAACTGCTGGTCCCTGTAGTAAGTTTTTAAAGCAGGAAGTGTGAATTCTCCAACCTTGCTCTTCTTTTTCAAGATATTTGGCTATTCTGGGACTCTTGCATTTTCATAGGCCTTTTAGGATTAGATTATTCTGCAAAAAAAGAAAGCTAGTATTTTGACGGAGTATTGCTTTGAGTATGTATTGATAGATCAGTTTGAGTATTATTGCTAACTTAATAGTATTAAATCTATTTGTGAATATAGTGTTTGGGTTTTTTTTTTATGTGTTAGGTCTTTTAAAATTGCTTTCAATGTTTTTTATGTTTTCAATGTTTAAGTCTTACACTTAGTTGTTAAATTTATTCGTAACTATTTTATCCTTTCTGATGATTCTGCACCTAGAATTGACTTTTTTATTTTTAAAAGAATTATTTTACCTTATTTATCATTATTAATATTTAATTTGACCAGAGAGAGAGAGGGAGGGAAAGTGAGAAAGTAAGCTGCCATTTCCAGGACGTGAACCACTGTTGGCCATGTAAGAGGCTAGCACCTTCACCACCATGCCATCTGCTGGCCCCTAGAATTGACTTCTTGATTTTGCATTTGGATTGTTTATTGCCAATGTATAGAAATCCAATTGCTTTTCCTATAATAACCTTGTATTCTGCAACCCTGCCGAACTCATTTAATAGCTGTAATAGTTTTTGGATTTTGGGGGGAGATGGGGGAGAATTCCTTGTGAGTTTCTATACATAAATTCATCTTAGCTATAAATAGTGATGGTTTTACTTCTCCCTTTCCTTTTCTCCCCACCTCTGATGATCCTGGCTAGAAGCTATAGTACGATGTTAAGTAGAAGTGCTAGGAACAGGTACACATGTCTTATTCCCAACCTTAGGGGGAGAACATCCAGCCTTCACTCGGAAGTATGATGTTATCTGAAAGTGTCAGTTTGGGGAGCCAGCTGGTGGCATAGTGGTTAAGGAGGGTGAATCCCACATGACCGACTACACAGTTTACATCTCAGACCTGATGGCTTGAGAAACATGGGTGCACATGCACGCACACGTGCCCAAAATCCCAAAAGGAGGGAGAGACAGAGGAGGAGGGATTGCAGCATGACCATCCCCCGCGAGGGGTGCCCCCTCTCCAGCGAGCTCATGTGCCCACTGGCAAATTTTTTTTAATTTGTAGGTTTTTGTAGGTGCCTTTTATCAGGTTGAAGAAGTCCCATCTATTTCTGGTTTGAGTGTTTTTCCCTTGATGGTTGCTAGAGTCTGTCAATTTGTTTTCTGTGTCTATTGAGATGACCGCATGGTGTTGTCCCTTACTCCTTGAAGCGACATAGTGCCCTGATTGGTTTCCACCTGCTGAAGCTGCTCGCTTTGAGATTTGCCACAGAGCAGAGGAGCTCTGAGGGAGGCGCCCTTGAGCTGGAGCTCCCAATGGGCATTTCTTCTCCCGGGGGGCTGTGGGGTTGGACCTAGAGTCAGACTGCCAGGGCGTGAGCCCCCCTGCTCCACTTGCCGGTGTGCAACTGCCACCGCCAAGTGCCTGTTGTCATCTGTCAAGGAGTCCTCGGGGCGCTCTTGGGACGGCATCCGGCACAGAGCGAGGTGGTTTACCGAGATGCTGGCTCATCAGTGATGCTGCTCAGGTTTCAATAGGCTGGGGTGGGGAGGGGCGGTGAAGGGGACACCAAAATATAAAAAGCCAGAATCTGGAAGCCAAGGTGATTTCCCACTTCCAAGAAAGACTGGTGTGTGTGGGAGGGGTGTCTGTAAGGGACCCCGGAAGCCTCTGAAGCTTCCTATGAGAGGAGGATGGACCACGTCCTGTGCCAAGGGTATAGTCCAGGTCCCTGCCAGGCCAGGCGGGTGCTTGTCTGAGCCTGCCCACTGCTAACCTCCATCTGTCCAGGCCTCAGCATCACACCCGTTGGGCAGGGCTGCGAGGGCTGTGAGTGGCAGCCAGCCCCAAGCCCTGAGCCTTCCTTCCACAGGGGCGGCTTTCTCCCTTGACAGCCAGGGAGGGCCCGTCAGCCTCTTGCTGGTGTCCTCGGCTGGCTCAGACTGCCTGGGATAGAAGCGGGGCCTTGTCTGGACAGAGGCTTCCAGATGTGCTCCGCCTCCCCACCTAATCTTCCTGACCTCTCCCTCTGGCTCCTCATCCTGCTGTTATTGACCGCCTTGGCTGGGACCATGGCTGTTTCTTGAGGCCCCTGTTTGTAGGTCTGTACTTCTGCACAGCATCTCAGCACGCTGAGGGTTGAAATGGAACCCTGGGCAGAGGACCGGCAGAGCACCCTCCTGGGCCCCAGACAAACTCTGCAGCCCCCAAGTCTTGGGCCTGTTTGCCTAGGACAAGGCTGCGGTGTTGAGGAGGGAGATGAAAACAGTTTTACTGTGCCCTGTGGAATCCCTGGCATTTGTTTGTATAAGATAAATGAGGCTGGATCTTACTTTGCTAATGTGCTGACCTCCTCGCCAGCAACATAGCCAGAGGCTCTTGGGGATGAGCCACTCTGGCTTAGTCTTGCTTTGGCTCTGAGGGGCCGGTGGTGGGCCTCCTCAGCTCAGGAGCATCCAGACCTTTTGCCGGGGGGGGGCCTCCTCAGCTCAGGAGCATCCAGACCTTCCCTGCCTCTGTTCCCCAAAGTCCAGAATGGTTCTACCTGCTGGGAGCTTGTGGTCTTTAGCAGAGAAGGGGACTGAGGTAAGAAGTGATAGTAATAAACTGGTAGTTCAGTACTCAACAGAGAGATTGAGAATACACATCATCCCACAAGGGCTGTCCCACCCTTACTGGGCGCCAGCCACCAGGGGCCTATGACAAACAGCAACCCCGCTTCGGAGCTTTGCAGAAACTGAAACGTGCCTTGACCCTCCACCTGGGGGACCCCCTTGAGGGCAGGTGCTCTTCTGAGATGAGGAGTCAGGACAGCCTGGATGGGAAGGGGAGAGAGCGGCAGGCCTGGGTTGGCAAAATCTGAGTGTGTGGAGAGGGGCCGGAGAGAGGGGCCGGAGAGAGGGGCCTGTCCGGTGCAGTGGCAAAGTGGATCCTGCTGTGACCCTGGCGGGGAATAGCCGTGTGTCTAGGCCAGCTCTTCAGTCTCTCTGACCTCAGCTTCCTCCTTCCGGGATTATCTTGCTGACCGCAGAGATAAAGCAGAGCCCTCCGCACGGTGCTGGCCGCTGCTAGGACAGCTCACCACTGTCCTGCGATGGTCCTTGAGCCAGTGTTTCACGCGGTGAAAGTCTTTATTGAACTAGGAAAATGGCCACAGTTGGTTGAGTTGGAATTCAGGTTACTCTGGTGTCTCCTCTTCTAAAGCCATGAGAGTCTGAACGTACAAGGGCTCATCAGAACAGTTCACGGAACATGGTGTTGAAGTACACGTTTATTTTGGTGCAAAAAACCATTAAAGTTCATGCCTCCTTTTCTCATCATATATTTTCCATGAAATTTCTGAAGACCCCGCGCCTGTATGCTGCTGCAGTAAAGGCTGAGGGTTGCCATAATGGCTGCAATGACTTACTACGGTATTCTTCGCCTTTCTACGCTCTTCAAATTCTAGCTATCAGGTGTGCATTTTATAACTACAGGAGTGTAGTTAGGAAATGTCACTAAAGCCCACGCCATTGCTTTTGTTCCCGGACACACGGGCCTGGAGTCCGGGGTGCGGATGGGGCACTGGGCCCTGCGGGTGGCCCCAGGTGCGCTGACTGCCTCCCTCTGCCCTAGATGACAGGATTTGTTCGCCGCCCTTCCTGGAGCTGACGAGCCTGTGCGGGGACGAGACCATGAGGCTCCTGGAGAAGCACGGCCTGGCTTTTCCCTTCAGTGCGTACCCCAGCGGGCCCGGGGTGGCGGAGGGGACCATGGGCTGGGTGGGTGGTTACCGTCCCCTCTGGGTTTGGATTTGCCTTTGGCTGCCAAGGACATTTGTCTCTGGGTCCTCCACCCCCACCTCCACCATTGAAGTGGGTTCTGGGAGGGGCCCTTCCTGGCTGGCCACGGGCATCTGGCCACATCACCCCAAGTGCAGATATTACTTGTCATTGAGCTGGGGGTCAGCGTACCACAGCAGCTCCCTGCCCATCCTCGAGCACCTGCGGTGTTCAGAACTCCTTTCCGAGGCCCCGATGTCTGCTGGGTCGGGCTTTGTGGGTGAGTGGCCTCGCTAATTGCTCTCTGCTTTTCTCTCCCCGACCCACAGTTTGCAAAACCAGGGTGGCTCATGGCACCAACTCTCACGAGGTGAGTGGAAGACTTGGCTGGCCCCAGCTGCCTCCCCGCCCCTGCCCTGCCACTGCCCCTCCCTGTCCCCTTAGCTTTCTGTGTCTCGCTGGCTCCTGTTGCACCCTGCCCAGCTGCAGCCTGCTGCTGCCCTGCGCTCGTGGCTCTTGGGCCCAGCCCCAGGCTGGGCAGCCTCCTCCCCCAGGCTCCGCAGGAACTGAGCAGAAAAACGCAGTGACTGTACACCATCTCCAACCTCCTCCTGTGCCCGCCTGCCGCAGGGCCAGAAGACGTGCTGCCCTGGCCTGCTCTGGAGCCTCATTGGCTTGGGCTGCCATAGCAACACGCCCCGCGCTGGGCGGCCTCACATCCTGGAGGCCGGAAATCTGAGCCCAGGGTGCCATGGGGCTGGATTCTGGCGAGGGCCTCTTTCTGGCTCACAGATAGCAATGTGTGTCCTCACATGCCCTCATATGTGCACATGCATGTGTGAGGGGAGAGAGCAAGAGGGAGTGCTCTGGTTTCTTCTTACAATGGCACTAATCCCATCACTGCATCCCCCCATCAAGACTTTACCCCGACTGCCTCCCACAGCCCCACCCAGCTGCCACCGTGTAGGGCTTCAGTATACAACTTGGGTGTGAATGACTTGGGGCACACTCGACTTGGGGCACACAATTGCAGTCCATCGCATCACCTGTCAAGTCTCACCCCAGGCGGCCTTCCCTGGCTTTCTGTCCCCTGGCCTGTTTACTGTCCCTTCTTAGGGCCTGTTCAGTGACAGGGCTGGGCCAGGTCCTAGTGAGGGCCAGTGACGGCCTCTGCTGCCTCAGGAGCCACAGCACTGCCGGCATCAGGGTGGGCTAGGAGGATGGGGCCCACCTGCCGGTGCCCCTTGGTCATTCCACCACTCCGGATGCTCCAGGCCCCATTGAGTGCCTGGGAAGGATGCTTGAGATGTGAGTCCTGCCCCAGTCAGAGGAGCTCCCAGGGAGCCAGCGCCAGCGAGATGTGGTGGGGCGTGAGTGAACACCCGAGGGCCTTTGGGGGCGAGAGGCGCGAAGGGCCAAGCAGAGGGCTGTTGCCTTCATAGTCCTTGGGAAACACCCAGGAGGTTGTCTGACGCTCTTGGGCACAGCTCAGCCTGAGGCCGCCACACGAGGTATGTGTGAGGGTGTGTTGGGCAGCAGACCCAGACCCAGGTGGCCCAGTGGGGAAGCCAGACCTGGGCAGCCTCCTCTTCCCACGGTCAGAACTGCCCCCTCCAGCTCGCGAGTGAGGATAGACCACCCACAGCAAAGGCCTTTGGTCAACTGGGCAATGCGCTTCCTGCTAGCTTGGTCATGGGGAAGCATCTAAATGGGTCAGTGTGGCAGGACCTGCCAGGGTGGTGCTGGCCCTGCCCACAGGGAGGAACACAGGGCAGCTGGTTGAAATCACCTGCCACAAAGGTCTCATCTCTACGATCAGGAGCACGTGGGTCATCCGTGCTGCCTGACTGGGCCCCGAACCAGGAGCAGCACCTTTGGGCGTGCTTCATGGCCGTGTGGGCGGGAGCAGGAAGGCTTGGAGCAAAGGGATCGTGCTCCCCTCCCCACCACCAGTGCCACCTGCCCACCTTCCCCTGCCCCTCTCCCACCTGGGGGTTCCTCTGCTGCCCGTCCCTTAGAGTCTTGGATGAACACAGTTGCTGTGTGACTAGGCCAGCCTGAATCAGTACAGGCAGCAGAGGGAGCCACTGCTGTAGCTCACAAGGGCTGGAGAACGGGTGGGAGAGCGGCCAGTTCTGGTGCTGTGCAGCACCGATGTGACTGGCCACGTCACAGCCTGTCGGAGCGATAGCACCACTTTTGTAACTGACGAGTGACAATACTGTGACGTGAAGGGGCTGCCGCACATGGTCCCCTCAGCCTTGCCCACGGAATTGCCGTGATGGGCTGAGGGGGACCCAGCTGCCCTGGAGCAAAAGCTGAGGTCTTAGGGTGGAAGCTCTGGATCCAGGTGAGCTGTTGAGAAGTTCCTGAGGGGCTGCAGGGCACCCCGACCCTCAGATGGGCCACTGCCATCCCATCTGTGGCACCATGAGCCTGCTCCCTGGTGCCTCCCCTGTCCAGCCAGCACCACCCTGAGCACCCAGATGCCCTGGGGGATGCAGTGCCGTGGGAGCCGCTTGGCAGCAGAGGATGCCCCGGCCACAGGGTGAGGGTGGGCAGGACGACGAGCTCCTCCCATGTTTTAGAGGCACCCTGGGTGTGTTGGGTACGATGAGGACGGTGCGATCAGCTTCAGCCAGGAAAGTGGCCGTTCTGAATGGGGGCCTCGCCCATGCCACTGCAGTCCCTTCCACATCGCAGCTAGCCCAGGCCCCACCTCTGAACTCCCGGCCCCTGGCACAGCCGGACCAGGATGGGTGCCGCCAGACCTCGGTCGGCATTTGTGTGCTTTTTATTTCTAAGCCAAGGAATTGGCCAGTCTCTCGGGCCAGCCAGCCCCGGGAGTGACTTGTCACCTTGCAGATGAGGAAAGTGCATTTACACAGGGCGGGAGCCCTGCCCGAGCCTAGGCTGAGTGCCGGGGGGGCCTCTGCACCTCAGCCTCCAGAGCTGTGCGTGTTCTCTCTCATGTCCCATGTGTGGTCCCTTGATGTCACTGCCCCTCGGCGCCCCAACACATATAGGCACTGTGTGTTTTTTCTTTGTGGCCTGGATTTCTGCTTCTGTCCTGCCCAGCTGAGCACCAGGCGTGGAGCATGGAGGGGTGGCGCTCTGTGACAGTTGATGTGAGGGGTGTCAGCCGCTGCAGGCGGCCAGTTGTCTAGGCCCTGTTATCCCTGCTCAGCAGCCCAGGCCTCTGGGGGCTCCTCCCTGGGGCCCTGCAGACTGAGGGATTAGCTGTGACCCCAGCCCTGGCAGCTGGCTTGAGTGGGCTGTGGCCATCCCTACATCCTGTTGTCCTTAGAGCAGGCTTTAGGCAGATGCAGCCTCCACCAAAGCGGAGAGGTTTTCTGCAGCTGCTCCACTGTCCCTCACAGAGTCCCCCTGTTGAGGACCTTTGTCCCCACAGCAGTGGGACTGGGAGCCAGAGACAGACCCCCGTCTGCTGAGTATCCATGACCGTGTGTGAGAGACCCAGGCAGAGTGCACCTGATTCCCTTCCATGCTCTCACTCTGCAGAAGGTCCCTGAGTTTCTCAGGGCCTCAGTTTCCCTCTGTGAAAGGGGGATGGCAGCTGGTGCACCTCAGAGGTGCGTCATGAGCATAACACTGGCTTACCAGGTGTGCATAGCCATTGAGCCTGGGTGTGCGTGGTACAGGCCATGACCAGGGCCGCCCAGCCCCTGACCCGCAGTCCTCTGCTTCCCGCCTCCCTATCCTGGGCCTTTTGGAAGAGACTCAGGGTATCAGGAGAGCTGGGCACATGCTCCCAGGGTCTTGTTCCCTGGGATCAGAGTGTGACAAGTGCTTTGGCAGCCGGGCAGTGCAGCCAGCCCAGCCCACCCACCGCAGCAGAAGGGCGTCGAGCCTCAGGGCTCTGCCTGAGTTCCCCTCCACTCACCCTGCTGAGACCAGGGCCAGGGAGGGCTTTGGTGGGGTGCCCAGGCAGGTGAGCTGCCCTCTGCTGGAGACTGGGGGTGCTGAATGCTGACGGAGCCTTTGGCCCTGTCTCCCCAGATGGCCATCGTCTTCAACCAGGAGGGCCTGAGTGCCATCCAGCCGCCCTGCGTGGTCCAGAACTTCATCAACCACAACGCCGTCCTGTACAAAGTGTTCGTGGTCGGCGAGTCCTACACTGTGGTCCAGAGGCCCTCGCTCAAGAACTTCTCCGCGGGCACGTCAGGTACGTGCCTCATGCCAGCCACCTCAGGCCGGGCCGGACCCAGGGCATGATGGGTGTGGCACCCGCTGTCTGTCCTTCAACTCTTTCTCCCCGCTCCCTGCGCTCCCTCTGGGGTGGAAAGGAGGCCTGAAGGCTGAGGATTGTGTACAGCAGGTAGGTAAGGGGGCCTTGGAGAACTATTGAGTTGTCAGAAAGTCATGATGCATTTTAGCACAGAAAGGAAAACATGTCATGACTTTTCTGATGACCCAGTAGTATGAGACCCCTGTTCCCCCCGTTGTGGGGCCCCATACATCTGACACCCAGGAAGCATCCCGAAGCTTGCCATCCTTAGGATGCCTCCTGAGGGCCATGTGGGGTCAGTTGGACAGGCATGGTCCTTCAGGGAGGGACAGAGGGAAGGAGGGGCAGAACTGCTCTGCCATACTGTCCTTACCTCGTGTCTCTGCTTTCAAAATGGGGAAGACTGAGTCAGCTGCTGCCGCGTCCCTGCTGCCCAGGACCTCAGAGAAGTCAGAGGTGGACAGGCTGCCCCCACCGTGCTCCCTGATAGTGAGCAGGTGTGAAACAGGATGTAGCCCCAGGTGTCCCTCGGATGTCATGTGGTAGTGGTCTTTGCGTGACGCTGCTGTGCTCAGGGGCGTTGGAGATGGCCCTTCAGGGAGCAGCCTGCAGACCCTGCTGAGGGGTGTTTTTCAACCTGGGGCCCACCTTCTGCCTGGCCTGACTGCAGGGCCATTGCAGAACACTGTGTTAGAGGTGTACTGGCTAGGGGCTGCTCTAAACAATGCCGGGTGGTTCTGGAGGCTTCTCGAGGGCAAGTTCCAGACCTTCGCACCAGTGGCCTTTGACATAAGCGCAGTCCTCCAGGAGGACTCCTTGTAGGATGCCTGATCACCTGGTGTATGTTGGGCAAATACTGCCCTTCTCCCTGCACCAGCAGCGCCATCTTCTGCAGCATCGCATTACCCGACTGGGTTGTCTCCATCTGAGCAAACCCCCATGTCTTCTTGCAGTCCCTCGTCCTGGGATTGCCCTTCACACCCACACCTCCTGGCTGGTGTAAGCAGCTCCTCCTGGGTGTCGTTTTTCTTCCATCAACATGAGATAGGGGGTGGGCACTTGGAAAAGTGCATCTCTTTCCCCTTCCCTCCTGAGTGCTGGTGGCCTTCCCAGCCAGGGGTGAGGCTGCCTTTGCAGAGCTTAGGACACCCCTGTGCTGTCACTGTCCCAGCCTCCCTCCTGGGATGACAGAATGGTATGGGGGTGGGGAGGCAGATGTCTGAGGGTCTCTTCATACATGATGAGATGGTTTCAGGAGACACTCATTCTTCCTAGATGGGAACCAGAGAAACTGACGTTCTTTTAAAATCCTCTTTATTATCTTCTTGATTAAAAAATGCATTAAATCTAGAAAGTAGATTAAATAAAGAGTGGCTATATGCCATCTCTCTCTCTTTTTTTTTTTTTGGAGAGATTTTCCCTATAGGGCGCGTGCACTCACCAGAGAGAGAGAGAGACATTAGAGACAGAAAGCGAGAAATCGCCCCCCAGGGGGGATGGTCACGCCGCAATCCCCTCTCCTCCATTCTCCTCTCAGGTTCTTGGGAACGCACGCACACGCGCCTGGCAGGAGTTTTAAGCCACCGGGTCTGGGACAGGAACCGCGGTCGACTACGTGGGAGGCCAGCGACATAGCCATTACGCCAACTGCTGGTTCCCTCTCTTTTTTTTTTTTTGGAGAGATTTTCCCTATAGGGCGCGTGCACTCACCAGAGAGAGAGAGAGACATTAGAGACAGAAAGCGAGAAATCGCCCCCCAGGGGGGATGGTCACGCCGCAATCCCCTCTCCTCCATTCTCCTCTCAGGTTCTTGGGAACGCACGCACACGCGCCTGGCAGGAGTTTTAAGCCACCGGGTCTGGGACAGGAACCGCGGTCGACTACGTGGGAGGCCAGCGACATAGCCATTACGCCAACTGCTGGTTCCCTCTCTTTTTTTTTTTTTTTAACCCAAATCACTGTCTTTAAAAGAAATTTACCACCAGATCTCCTTTCTTTTCCGACAAAAGTGGTTTTTGTTTGTTGGTTTTTGTTTTCCCCCGCTCCTCTCCTCCCGGTTGCGAAATGCTGGGCTGGTTTCCATCCCAGCACTGGAAGCTGTTAGCGGCAGAGGCTCTTGGTCCGGATCTGTGGAGATGAGGGCTCCTCGCCTGTGTGTCTTCTCTCGTGGCCAGTTTACCAGAAGGTGCAGACCAGGGCCGGAGGGTAGAGAAGCACGCAGAGCTACAGAGGAGAAACGTTTATTATGTCCACGTAAATCGAGTCACTCTCAGTGCACGCCCGTCCGCCCACTCCCAAGCTGATTCTGTGCCTACTGCGTTCAGGGCACCCTGCTGGGAGCTGGCCTGCGTCCTGGCCTTTTATACGCGATGCTCTCTCCACGTGAAAGCATGCCGGACAGCGGCCCTTGAAGCTGTGGCCCTGGGACTCTGGTTCTTCCTAGCTCTACCCAGCTTCTGGGCTCCCAGCACAGCAGGCCCTGCAGTTCCCTGTCCACACTGGGAGGTGGGGTGCCCTGCTTGGGGTTTCCCTGGGCCTGGGCTGGACACTGGACACAGCCTCCACTCCAAGGCCGCCATTCAGTTCTCAGGTGCGCTTTGGTTAACGTCTCAAGCCAAGTGTGCCTTACAGCCAGTAGCATCTTACAGGTGCCATGGCTGGAGCTGAAGTCAAGTTTATGCAGAGAGCTGACACCTGTAAGTGGCGGCCCCTGAGACCACTGTGTTCTCTGCCTGTGGTTTGCATTCCTCAGAGACTGTTCCTCCTCTGCACCCAGTGCTAGGGTAGAGACGGGCAGGCTCCTTTGCTCCCCCTTTCTGAGTAGTGAGTTCATTTCTTGTTTCCCTTTGCCCTAAGAATGCACAGCTTGGGCTCTCGGCTTTATGAGGGACTCTTGGCCTCTCCATCCTGGGCCGCCTTCTCCTTCGGGTCCGTAGAAGGGTACTCCCTCTTACCAGATATATCTTATCTGCACACAGTCCAGCAGAGCTCCAGGCCTGGTGACTGTTTCCAGCTGTGTGGCAGTTATTTAATGCCACTTTTGTACTGTGAACCCAGATGATATGTAGACAAATGGGTGCGGCTGTGTTCCAGTAAAACTTTATTAACAAGTGCAGGTGGCCTGGCCCATAGTCTGTTGTTGACTGACCCTTACGCAGGAGTCCCTGAAGATTCCATGATCAGCAGTCGTTGAACCTTCCATGGGCCCAGCCTGGTATGAGGTGCTGGGATCCAGCCAGGGACCAGTCGGCCAGCTTCCTGCCCTCCTGGGCTTACGTTCCAGCGGGAGAAACAGCACTGTAGAAAAGAAATACTAATAGGGTCTGTTTTGCCCAACGTGAGGGACTCTACAGAGAACAGCATGTCCTGGCCACTGCCAGGTGAGGGGACCCACTTGGGAAGGGTGGCTCTGCTGGCCCCTCTGCAGATGTGACATTTGTAGAGCAACTAAAAGGTGACTTGGGTCACTGTCTGCAGCACTGTGACGTGCTCCCCACCAATCTCAGAGAGGATCGTGAGATTAAGCGGACGAGGTTAAAGACTGTGGCCACGGCTTAACTCGCCAGGATGCTTGGGGCTTACTTTGGCATTTCTCTGGGGCCTGTTTTTCTCATCTGTAAGCTGAGAACAGAAGCACCAGTCATGCCTCCTTCCCGCTCTCCCCTGCAGGGGCTTGGCGATGGCTCCTCACCCGGCTGTGTCCTGAGACCGGTCTAGAAACAGAGGCTGGATGGACCCCCTGGCCCATGGGGCTCCCATGATCAAGGGCCTCACCTCTGAGGGACCAGGTACCCTAAAATGGCCCCAGCTTCTGGGCGCCAGGCTTTCCTGGGACTCAGATGCCTTCCGACCCAGTCTCTTGGATCACTGGCTGCGGCTAGACACGCTCTGGCCAGCGGGCCGCACTGGGACGGAGCTGAGCTGGGGCATCTCGTGCTGCCCTGTGGGCGGTCCTCTGGCCAGAGCTCCGAGGTCAGCTGTCGTGGGGAGGAGCGAGCGCCCTGGATTGGTCTGGACTTTCGATCTTCTCACCACGAGAAGTGATGGGCGACGTGGTTTGCCTGGCTCAGCAGGCACTGGCAGGCCCCTGAGTGCCCAGCCCTGCCCCTTGCTGGCACCAGCCAAGCACCTGTGTTCTCCTGAAGCTCCTTTGGCTTCCCAGCCGCCCTGCACATCACCGTGCCCACTGCTGCTGGGGGCCTTTCCTCAGCTCAGGCCTCGACTGTGGGGTGGGGGTGGGAGGGAAGGTGCCCTGGCCAGCCTGCACTGCTGGGGGAGAAGGTGGGCCTGGCCCTCAGGAGGTCTGAGCAGCAGCCCTGCTCAGCCCCTGCTCCAGCCTCCGGCTTCTGGGCCATTGCCACTTCCGTAACGGCCCCCTCTCCTGGGCTGTCAGTGCCCTGGAGCAGATAGAAACCAGCGGGCTACTTGGCGTGAGTCCTGCAGGGTGTTTATTTTCCCAGGCTCCTCCCCAGGACCGTCTCTCATGCCCCCCGTCTGGACTGGCTCTGGTCGGAGCGGCGGGAGGACTATCGGGCACATCGGGGCAGCCAGGGGCCTCTGTGCCCCGCTAGCGGGAAGGATGCCAGGTACATCTCCGCACCTGCCTGCTCAGCCTCTGCCGAATCCCCTCCTCATGCACGATTGTGGCGGCGCCGTCGAGTCCTGCAGCTGGTGGGGGCCATGGCAGCTGGACCAGGTGCCCCTCCTGTCCTTGTGCTTGGGCGCCAGAGACAAGTGTGTGTCCTGCGGGAAGGGAGCCATAGCACCACCTGCAAGGACTCAAGCTGCTCTTTGGGGAAGGGAAGTTGCAGGATGGTGACAGCCAGCTGTCCCCTCTACCCTGAGGCTCATGGTTCCTGAGTCTCGCATCGGTGGGCCCACACCTCCAAGTGTTTGAGGACCTGTTGCTGACAACCAGCCTCGTGTCTCCCCAGAGCGGCCTGGGCTGACTCCTCTCAGACATTGCTACTTGGGAGTGACCAATGCCCTTTTTTATTTTTTAAAAATTTTTCTAAGGGGTGCATGTGCTCACTAGAGAGAGAAGGGGGGGAATGAGATAGCACCCCTAGCGGGAGATGTCCACGCTGCAATCCCCTCTCCATTCTCTTGGGATTTTCATCATGCATGCACACACGCCTGGTGTGTTTTTCAAGGTGTGGGGTCTGGGTCTCAAACTGTGCAGTCAGCCATGTGGGATCCAACTGCCTTAACCACCATGCCACCTGCTGACCCCATACCGTCCTTTCATCTTTGCAGTATTCTGGGGACTGGGCTGCCTCTCCAGTCCCCCGTGGG